TTTTTAGTTGTAGTTGAAAACAATATCTTTATTTTATTTATGTATTTTTACGTGGTGCTAAGGATTGAACCCAGTGCCTYGCACGTGCTAGACGATCGCTCTACTGCTGAGCCACAACCCCAGCCCCATGCCTCTACTTGATTTGATGATAGAACATTCTACCTGATTTCTCCTCAGTCCACTTGAAGGCTACCCACCACCAGGATGTCTATTCCAAAAAAAGCAAACTTTGTTAAAAGTCATTTAGGGACATTATGCTGCTGATAGATTAGTTTAATATATTTCACAACTACCACAAAAGTAAAGTGACAATAAAGACCTTTACCTTAACTCATAAAACCTCAAGGATGAATAATAGAAGGAAGGGATAGTAGTGATGAAATTTTGGGACTTAAAACTGAATCCTGGGCCAGCAGTGGGGAACTCAGCAGCAGCAACTCTACYGACATCCTAGAATCTTCAAAAAGCTTGATAATTGGTGGCATGGGGTACCTTTAGTAGAGGCTTCAGGTTCTGTTAGTAGAGGTGGAGATAAAACTGGAAATTGGAGGACTGGTTAAAGATGTGTGTAAGAAACAGACTCCCGGATCCTCTCCTTCAACAGCTCCCAGAGAAACAACCGTCCTTTCCCTTCATTGACAGAGGTCTGGACTTGTCTCTAAAGAGTGTAAACCAGGCAGTTTCTGGATTGTTGACTCCTAATTGCTGGTACATGTGAGGGCATAGAGTTTGAACAAGACCAGGGGGGAATAAGTGGACTTTTGCATATTGAATGTGAACTCTCCAGGATCTTCTCCAGCTCTGCTTTCAGAACACTGGTCTTATAGCCTTCAGTCTGGAGTTTGCAAGATTCCTCTCTGGGGAATCTGACCAACCCAAGAGAAAAACACTTACATGAACTAGCGCAATCACAACTCCCTATCCAGAGCCATAATTAGCAAGTCCTACCCTATGTGCACAGGGCTTTCAAATAACCCAGTGTCCCTGTCTTAAGTATGTGCAAATAGCCAAGGACTGTCTGACATAGGAGAAGGTCTAAAATGTTAAAGTGTCCCAAAACAACAGAACAAAGCAACTTGGAACCAGAAACTGTGCAAAGAGATCATAAACCAGCCTTTCCAAACGAAAGGATGAATGTCTCTGAGAGTTGAAATTTGTTTTGTCTTGTTCACAGTACTGGAAATTGAACCCAGGGCTTTGTGCATCCTAGGCAAGCACTCTTACTACTGAGCTACATCCTAGCTCTTTTTAAAATTTTGTATTTTTTTTAAAGAGAGAGAGAGAATTTTTTAATATTTATTTTTTAGTTTTCAGCGGACAGAACATCTTTGTTTGTATGTGGTGCTAAGGATCGAACCCGGGCCGCAYGCATGCCAGGCAAGCGTGCTACCACTTGAGCCACATCCCCAGCCCTAAAATTTTGTATTTTAAGACCCTATTTTAGGAAGGTGTGTGTTCGGGGRTGACTGGAGACATAGCTCCATGGTAGAGTACTACCGTGGACTTCATTCACATATGGGGGTGGGAATGAATGATGTGCTATTTAAAAAATAAAGAAGTTACTTAAAAATATGATAACAAAAATGAAAAACTTAATAAAGGGAAGGGAAGATAAAAATTTAGATCATTGCCCAAAAAGTAAAAAACAAAAAGGGGWTGTAAGAGAAAAGTAAAGAACTCAGGTGTTAGCCTAAAATTCTGTCACCTTGAATGATAGGCATTCTAGAAGAGAGAACTGAAAAATGAAAAGAAAAAAGTCATTAAAAAAAATTTGAGTGCCCCAAACCCACCCGTAATCTCAGCAACTCACGAGGCTGAGGCAGGAGGATCACAAGTTTGAGGCCAACGTGGGCAACTTACAAGACGCTGTCTCGAAATAAAAAGGGCTGGGGATGTAGYTCAGTGTTAGAGCACCCCTGGTTCAACCCGCGCCCTGCCCGCCCCGCCCCCCGTATTTGTTTTTTTTTTAGAAATTTCCCAGAACTGAAAGTCATGCATTTTTGGATTCAAAGTGTCGAGTAGGGCACCAATTCAAGGCATGTCATTAATGATATTTCAGAACACCAAGAAGCTAAAAATTCCAAAGAGGAATGAAAGAAATACTCACATACTAAGGATAAAGATAAGGGATCAGATTGGCAATATATTAGCTAGTCAATGGAACAATGCCTTTAAATCCCAAAAGGAGATTATTTTCATCTTAGAAATCTATGCCTAGGCAAAATTCCATATGTAAACACAGAATAAAGATATTTTATGGCATGTAAGACTTTACCAAGTTTACTTCCAAAGCATCCTTTCCCAGGAAGAGATACTTCACTAAAGCAAAGCAATAAACCAATAAAGAAGAAGACCCAAGTCCCAGTTTAAGTCAGGCAGGGGACTCTCCGGGTGGATGAAGTGTGGTCCCTGGTGTCAACTACTCAGCATAGCCAGAGATCAAATAGCCAGAAGACAGAGCAATGCATAGGATATTTTTGAAAGAGACACAAGAAAATCAATAATGGTTATCTTGTAAATAAAAATGGGAAGGCAGAGAAAGGGCATTTCCCTTTACATATATTACTTTTTTCTTTTTTAAATATATACACATATTTTTAGTTGTTGATAGACCCCCATTTTATTTATTTATTTATATGCGGTGCTACACATGCTACAGAATCACTCCACCACTGAGCTACAATCCTGGCCCCCATCACACTTTTTTTTTTTTTTTTGAGAAAGTGAAAATGTTCCCTCCAGTAGCGCATCTCCAGTGGAGATGTTGTTTAACCCTTAGATAATGATAACAGAWTTTTTCTGTTGTTCAGAAACTGGAAAGCAATTTTGCTAGGATATTTTTAAATCCTCTAGCCAATCTTTACTGATGATTTTAGGCATACACTTCTCATGATAGAAGAGCTAGGGAGGAAYGTCTTTTGTACAAGAAGAGCCTGAACTCTCTCCTAGAAGATATCCTCCCTCCTGCTCTTCAGAGTTAGGCTCGCCATTATGGAGGGCAGAGGAAGGTTTCTTCTGGGCTTCAGGACTACAGCAGACTTCTTTTTGGAAGAGCCCTTCCATAAAAGCTTTCTCTGCTCCAAAACCTTGATTACCAATAATTAATCTCAGATGAAAGATTCAGTGCTACAGGCTTCCTCTGTCTCTGACCTAAGAGAACAGGCTGTGAATGGTTTGTTTGTTTGCTTGCCAGAGATCTTATCTTCACCCAGAAGAGCTGATAGGATCATAAAATCAGCATTGATCTCTTCTTCACAGTGTCCTTTCTCCACAAAATGGGGGGGTGCACTGAGCCCAGGACAAAAGGGAGATTTAATATTGTCATGAGGGGGTGGCTGTCATTTAATAATGGCTATATTTCATAGTAATAAAATTTGGATAACTCTCTGGTGCATCCTAACCCCCATGCTTTCTTTGCTCCTTTGCATAAATCACTACAAAGCAACTAAGCCAGCTAAGTCCAAACCACCCRCTTGCCTATTCCCAGCACATGAATTAGAGGGAGGCCAGCTGAAATCTGGGCCAGGCACTTAGATGACTTGTGATGTCTGATTTTTGTTCCATGATTTGGAACTCAAAATAAATCAAAAAGGAAAAACATGTTCCAAATACCAGCTAATTCACACACAAAAAAAATCTCCATCTTCTTTCGTCCTGGCACACACACAAGGCTGATAAACAGACCTGCCCTRCACACAGATACAAGTATTTAGAGACTAATTTCTATAATCACAAACAGATATTCATGTGAGGCAGACTCACGGAACTCCTGTGTGTGAGGTTAGGCTCTAAAACTGGAATGAGGGCTGAAGAACATTTTAGGGTCTGGGGAAATTGGGAAAGACTTGGAACATAGGGTCTTTGAGGGAAGGTTCTAGGAGACAGAATTTGGGCAAAAGAGAAGAAAATATGTGAATAGCAAACAGGAGAGTACTCAAATAAAGTAGTGTCCATGGCAGAAGAGGCTATTTGGTTAGATCTTAATGATAAACTTTCTGCTGGGTGTGCTGGGGCAAGCCTGTAATCCCAGTGACTTGGTAGACTGGGGCAGGAGGATTACAAGTTTAAGGCCAGCCTCAACAACGTAGGGAGGCTCTGTCTCAAAATAAAAAATAAAAAAGGGCTAGTGATGTAGCTCAGTAGAAAAAGCACCCCTGGGTTCAATAGCCARTACAAAAAGAATAAACTTTCTGACTGGTGAAACTTGTTAAACTCCAAAATTGAACAGCCCCAACCTACAGAGCTCTGGAGGCTATGGTAAATTCCCTTGGTACAAGGCCAGGGTCCTCATATAATGGATATTTATAGATACAGATGTTGAAMAGCAGTCTCTCCTGATACCATAAACCTGATCTTCCAAGAAGTTGGCAGAGAAATGAAACCATTCAGCAGGAATCRGGCACCTCTGATGGCCATAGCATCTTGAGTTTGACCTATTTACCAAAAGAGCAGCACATTCTGTTTAGAAGCAGCACCTGTTCCCCGGATGGGGTGAACTCCATGAATGGGCGCAATGAGAAATGATAATTTGAGGGTCCTAAAAAACAGAAAAAATAAATCTTTCCCTCGGCCTTGTCACCAGGTATGGGAAATTTCAGCAAGGTGGTGATAGAGGCAGGGAGATACCTAGAGAACACATCTAAAAATGAACAAAGATACGGTAATTATAAGAATGGAAGCTGTTTACAGGGAGAGGAAACTGGTTCGTATAATTAGATGGATCMAAAAATTACCTTGTCTTTATGTTAYACCTTCCTGTAAAGGAGATATAAGATCTTTTCTTGCCGGATAAAGACAAAGTCCCTTCTTTTTAGAGAAGAATACCATCAAATTACAAAGGGGCCAAAGTCACACTTTCAATTACTGGCAAAGTCAGGACGAATCCGCACGCCTTTTCCTTTGTCAAGAATGTATAAAGGCATCCTTCCACTAATAGGAAACATTTATTCCTGCCTTGGCTTCTGTTTTAGCTGCTCATCTTTCTCTCTCCCATCCTGCAGCTGGGATGAAAGCAGCTCCATCAGCAGTGGGCTCAGTGATGCCTCCGACAACCTCAGCTCAGAAGAGTTCAATGCCAGCTCCTCACTCAACTCCCTCCCATCTACTCCCACTGCCTCCCGCAGGAACTCTACAATAGTGGTATGTGGGTTTGCAAACACCTGGGCCACCATCTCGTGATGAGCCCAACTGGGCAGTGCCTGGGTTTGCACGCCCAGTCACACCCACTTCATGAAAGTGGTTCCCATTGACCAAGTTCTTGTAGAGCTGGCCAAAAAACAAAACAAAACAAAACAAAAGTAAGTCTTCCTAGCAGTCCCCTAAAACATTAGACATTGTCACAGTGCCTATATTTTGGGCTCACATGTGTCTAGAGTGAAACATGTAAGAGCTATTCCAAGCTTGCTAGGCTTGGTGGTGCACACCTGTAATCTTAGCAACTGAGGCAGGAGGATCTCAAGTTCAAGGCCAGTCTCAGCAACTTAGCAAAACCCTGTCTCAAAATYAAACAAACAAACAAAAAATTAAGGGCTTGGGATATAGCTCAGTGGTAGAACACCCTTGGAGTCAATCCCCAGTGCTAAAACAGGAAAGAAAAAAAATTTAGCTAATCCAAGTGGAAAAGAAAAAGATTCCCAGAGATAGATCTGATATCCTCTCTCCAGACCCTAAGGATACAGTAGGAGCCCTGGGTTGCCTAGGCACTCTGGGAAGAGCAGGGCCACCTAATAACCAAATAAATCCCCTCAGCTAACCATTCCCCAACCCCATGGGAATGTCTCCTCTTCTCTTCTTTAGCTGCGCACAGACTCAGAGAAGCGCTCTCTGGCAGAAAGTGGGCTGAGTTGGTTTAGTGAATCAGAAGAGAAGGCCCCCAAAAAGCTGGAGTACGACAGCGGTAGCCTAAAGATGGAACCTGGGACTTCTAAGTGGCGGAGAGAACGGCCTGAGAGCTGTGATGATTCTTCCAAGGGCGGAGAACTCAAAAAACCCATCAGTCTGGGACATCCTGGTTCCTTGAAGAAGGGCAAGACCCCACCAGTGGCTGTCACTTCCCCCATCACTCATACAGCCCAGAGTGCCCTCAAAGTTGCAGGTAAGTCTGGAATAAAGGAAGGGAAAGAGTGAGGATCTGTTTCTTTGGTTGTCCCTCTGAATGGTTGGTTGTCCCTCTGAATGGCCATTAACCCATAGAATGATAGCAAACATTTGCATAATGCTTTAACATCCACACATCTGATCTTCCGGACCTCGGAGTGAGGAGGGGTAGGTATAACTCTCACACAATGAATAAGTAGCAGAGGAGGAACAGTGTGTTATGTTCAGAGACTAGTTTGACCTCCTTCAAACACTTCCCATTTGTTTCTTTCCTCTCCTTTTCCCGCGTAGGGAAAGAAAAAGATTTCTGAGGTCCTGGTCAGTGTCAGCTACTCTCACCTCATTTCCTTCCCTCTCACAGGCAAACCCGAAGGCAAAGCTACAGACAAGGGTAAGCTTGCTGTAAAGAATACCGGGCTGCAGCGCTCCTCTTCTGATGCTGGTCGGGATCGCCTAAGTGATGCTAAGAAGCCCCCCTCGGGCATTGCTCGCCCCTCCACCTCGGGATCCTTTGGCTACAAGAAACCCCCTCCTGCCACAGGCACGGCCACGGTCATGCAGACTGGTGGCTCAGCCACTCTCAGCAAGATCCAGAAGTCCTCAGGCATCCCCGTCAAGCCAGTGAATGGGMGAAAAACTAGCTTAGATGTGTCMAATAGCGCRGAGCCTGGATTCCTGGCTCCCGGAGCCCGTTCCAACATCCAGTACCGCAGCCTGCCCCGGCCAGCCAAGTCCAGTTCCATGAGTGTGACAGGTGGGCGGGGTGGACCTCGCCCTGTGAGCAGCAGCATTGACCCCAGTGTCCTCAGCACCAAGCAAGGAGGCCTTACGCCCACCAGACTGAAGGAGCCTTCCAAGGTTGCCAGTGGGCGGACCACTCCAGCTCCTGTCAATCAGACAGACCGGGAAAAGGAAAAGGCCAAAGCCAAAGCAGTGGCCTTGGACTCAGACAACATCTCCTTAAAGAGCATTGGCTCCCCAGAGAGCACTCCCAAGAACCAAGCAAGCCACCTGCCAGCCACCAAATTAGCAGAGCTACCACCAACCCCTCTCAGGTACCCAAACTGGGTATTTCCTCCTTGTCTATTTGCTCGGTCATTCTTTTGCATATTCTGGTCCTCTTTAGACTAGGAGTGCCATGTCCTGTCCACTTTGATCTCTAGGCCTTTGCATGGGTCTTTTTAAAATCTCCTCTGGCTTCCCCTGTAGGCCAAGTTCTTTTCCCTCTTTCAAAATTGTATTCAGGAGCTGGGCGCCGTTGTGCACCCCTRTAATCCCAGCGACTCTGGAGGCTCAGGCAGGAGGATCTTGAGTTCAAAGCCAGCCTCAGCAACTTAGCAAGGCATTTAGCAACTCAGCAAGACCATGTCTCTAAATAAAATACAAAAAAGGGCTGGGGATATGGCTCAATGTTTAAGCACCCCTGGGTTCAATCCCTAGTACAAAAAAAAAAAAAAACAAGTATTCAAAACTTACTCTTTATTCTATTTTCTTATCAATGCCTAACCTGTTTTCACAACACTTGTACAGGTGGTCTTTCAATGTTAATTTGCACACATATACCCATTTGCATATAACTTCACCTGTGTTTCCCATGGGCATGTATTGCCCCCCTATTAAGACTGCAGGTGCCTTCAGTCAGGTGTCRGATTTCCTTCCAACTGGTTGCTCAACAGCATTAGAATCAGCTGCTGTACTTAGCGAATGGCCAGAAAACAAGGAAACTAAAGAATGATTGCCTCTTGCTCTGTAATTCTGTTATCTTAAATATTTTATTTTATCTTCACTTCTCTCAGGGCCACAGCTAAGAGCTTTGTCAAGCCTCCTTCACTAGCCAATCTAGACAAGGTCAACTCCAACAGTCTGGATCTACCATCGTCCAGTGACAGCCACACTCCAAAGGTCCCAGATCTGCATGCTACAAGCTCAGCAACTGGGGGCCCTCTCCCTTCTTGCTTCACCCCCAGTCCAGCACCCATCCTCAATATTAACTCAGCCAGCTTCTCCCAGGGCCTAGAGCTGATGAGTGGTTTCAGTGTCCCAAAGGAGACCCGCATGTACCCCAAACTCTCAAGCCTGCACAGGAGCATGGAGTCCCTTCAGATGCCAATGAGCCTGCCCAGTGCCTTTCCCAGCAGTTCCCCCATCCCCACCCCTCCTGCGGCCCCTGCTGCCCCCACAGAGGAAGAGACCGAAGAGCTGACCTGGAGTGGAAGCCCCAGAGCTGGACAAGTGGACAGGTAGGTGGGTGGAGACGGAGCTGAGACTGAGCCCAGACCACTGGCAATACCATCCTATATTTGTTTGCCTCTGTGACTTTCAAAACTTTTTCACATATTTTAAGTGATTTTACATGCTTCAAACAACTCCATGAGATAGGTAGGATGCTTTTTTTTTTTTCCTCATCTCATGAATGGAAAAACTGGTGCGCAGAAAGTTAAGTGACTTAGCCAAGATCTCATAATTGGTTAGACCCGTTCTCCGGAGCTTTTGCTTCCTAATCCACAATCATTCCTAATATATCACGTCCTTCTTTTTACCCGCAGTATCTTTTAAATAGCCAACCATACCCTAATTCCTAATTGGAGAAAAACATTCAACATTTCAGGTAAATTTCCCAAGTTTGCACCAAGAACTTGGCTGAGACTGTCTTCTTATTTTGTTTATAGAGGTAGTTTGATGCTCCGTGTCCTGAGTCTGCAGACCTCACCTCAAGCCTATGGTCCCACACTCTAGTTTCTAAGGCGGACTCACATACTTCTCTTTTTTTATCTCCACAGTAATCAGCGGGATCGGAATACCCTTCCCAAGAAAGGACTCAGGTAACCCTTAATTACAGCTTTTCCTCCCTATACTTGGTGCTCCTAGTATATATAAAAAATCCATATTTGACCTGTCCCAGGCCCTCTGCATGAATTTGGCCCTTTTATCCAAATCATTTGTATGTGGTCCCATATATGTGCCATCCAGCACCTGCTCACCATCATGTGAGTCAGCGTCTACAGCAGGTGGTCTTTGGTGATGGGGAGAAGGAGTTTGCATGGGAATCACATGTTCCTCTGTCTCCCTTATAATATCCCAGGGCTCCCCGAACTTCCTTTCTATAATTTTGCTTTCCTGCTGTGTGCCTCTGGGGCCACTTGGTTGGGCAAAGGGCAGRACATCTTTGGTCCTCTGCTGTTGTCACAGCACTGAGTTGTTCATTTGGATGGGGACTCCTGTGACCTGAGAGCCAACACATAGAATCATGGGGCTCTGCCCTGAGCTATAGGGGTGAAGTTCTAGTGCCTTCTCTGTCCTATCTGACTCTATTTCAGGAGCTCTGTGTAGAGTACCTGCTAGTGTTCTAACATCAGCTGAGGGGCGGGGGGAGGACGCTGAGTCACTTCCTTTTGCTCCCTCCTGGCAGCCCTGGATGCTCCCCTTTTCCTTGACCAACTTTCAGATCTCCTGGCTCCTAGCTCCCAGATATAGGTATTCTGGGAGATATTCCCCTAGATATTACCCACACCGACTATGCGTCTAGTATCACTTTGTGGTTGCTGAGTCTAAGTCCTTCTACTGCCTTCTACAGGTACCAGCTCCAGTCCCAGGAGGAGACCAAGGAGAGGCGGCATTCCCATACCATTGGTGGGCTGCCTGAATCCGATGACCAGTCAGAGCTGCCTTCTCCCCCTGCTCTCTCCATGTCCCTGAGTGCAAAAGGCCAGCTTACCAACATAGGTCAGTGTTTGCGGTCGCTCACTGTGGCATGGGATGAAGCAGGGGGTCACCCGGTAGGGTGAGGCAAGGCAGCTGGACTTGAGGTTTCATCTAGTATTCGACTCATGCTACATTGGTGGTTTCATGGTGCCTCAGTTTATCCACTCAAAATAAGATGGAAGGTGAAGTGTGCAAATCCTCAACTGAAAAGTTGCCCCTGGGCACAAGTTGTAGGGTCCTGTTAGTATCAGAGAGTCAGAACTATGGCATGGAAAAGCCATAAGCCAAAGCCCAGGGATCAAACCAGTGCAGTGCCAGGCATGTAGATCAGCCAGAAAGGATCTGTAACACCCAGGGCTGCCAGGGCCAGCCGCTGCAAGGGCAGTACTAAAATGTGAGGCTGGAGGGGAGGAAGAGGGAAAAGTAGTGGATGGAGGAGAGTGGAATCTGCATCCAAACCCAGAAAAATTCAGATTCCCCAGCTGCCTGGCTGAGGGCAAGCCCTCCTCGCCCTGAAGGCAGAGCTGACTAAAACATCTCCTGGACACACCCTTTCTAGATCCTGAGAAGCAAGGAAAGCTGAGATAGAAGGAAGTGGCCGGATGACTCAGAAAGCAGGGAGGGGAAGAAGCCTGGGGTGGCGAGGGCCCGGCCCAGCCCTGGTTCTTAGAAGACTGGGCCAGGCTTGGCCTACTAGGAACCCTTTCAAACAGTGCCCGGGATGGGCCTGTTGTTTGCTTGCTGTCTCTCTCTAAACCCATGTCTTCTTTCAGCTGAGTGAAGGGAAGGAGTTAATGTAAGACAAGGACCTGTGACTTGCCATACAGTGACGGTGGGGAATTTGAGGAAAGACTAGGAATTGGGATCATGTTTGCCTTAAGGGTCKTCTGGCCTCTGAAGGGCTCTTAAAGGAGGATGGGGCCAGCTTGTTTTCCATGTCCGTTGAGGATAAAACAAGAGGAAAGGTGTTCCTGCTGCAGAATGAGGGCCTGGGCTAAGTAGGACTCGCCTTATGGATTCAAAAGCGCCAAGAGAGAGGCATGAGATCTGCACAGGTCTTTACAGACAGGCGCACTATCCACCGGCCTGTGGAGGGAGTTCCATGAAGGTGTGAACCCCAAAAGGCTGTAGTCCCAGCAAGGGGCAAATGGATGGGGTCAGGTTCTGCAGGTGAGCAGGAGCCAGCAGATTATTCAAAGCAAGTTCAAACCTCAAAGCAGATTCCAAGCCCTACTGACACATCCACCTGCTCTGTCTGTCCGACATGAAAGCCAGCCAGTGCTGGGCAGAGGTGGCCCTAATTTTTGATGCCTTAGAACTGACTTAGAGTGACACTGCTTTGTTGAGAGACATGTCCTTCCTTAATGCTGAGCCCATTGGATCCGCAGCCTGACCCCCGCATCACTTGGATCTGAGTCGTGGTKTGAATTCTCGGTCCTTCCAGGTTGTGTTGTAGAGGACGAAACATCCCATTTTCATGGTCACATCCCAGCGATGTGAAGGTTTCCAATAAGCTGCCAGGCCCCTTCAAAAGCAATGACGCCGAGGCAGGCAGGCTTGAAGGAATATCCATTTTATTCCAGACAGCAGGGTCCTTCTCCATTAGGGCTCGCCCTCTGCACACGCCCCCGGCCCACCTGCCCCCTCCTCTCCCACCCTCTCCCCGTTGCCTCTCATGCTCCTGGTGCTCCATCCCCCAAGGGACAAGAGAGCTGATGACCCTGCCTCTTCTCCTGCCTCCCCCTCCCTCTCCTGTCCCCCTTCCCTCTGTCCTTCCAGTGAGTCCCACGGCGGCCACCACGCCAAGAATCACCCGCTCCAACAGCATCCCCACCCACGAAGCGGCCTTCGAGCTGTACAGCGGCTCCCAAATGGGGAGCACCCTGTCCCTGGCCGAGAGACCCAAGGGAATGATTCGGTCAGGATCCTTCCGAGACCCCACGGATGATGGTGAGACTTCATGCCAGCGCGGTTCACGCTCATTCCAGCTCTGCTGGGTCCCCTCACCCACCACCACCTCCACTGCCACCACTGCCACCACCACACACACGTATATGATCCACAGGACATCGACTTGGGCCATTTCAGTTCTTTCTTCCCATACCTTTGAAGGGTCTGGGGGCCCAGAAACCCTGGGTGGCACCATCTAGCACTGGGACTTTGGGATGGAGCTACTCTCTTGAGGGTCGGGGGAGGAAAATCAAGAGTGGAAAGGGTTAAGGCTATCTCTCAAGGTGCTCTGAAAACCAGAGCTTCCGTCCTCCTCATTCTGCTAGTGGTCTTTCCTCCTCACAGTCTCTCGGAGTATTAGAAAAGACACAGGGATACAATGGTAGCTCTTAAAACGCTTACAAGGAATTAGACATCTCATTCCTGATTTCAGAATATTCCAGAGATTAGCTGCGGGGAGGGGAAGGGGCACCTGGTGGATGACGGTGATCTGGGTGTTAAGGTGGACCAGAGGCTGGAGCCGGGGCCTTGTGTACGTTGGACCCCCATTGCTCTTGGGGTGCTTAGGTCACAGGGGATTGCTTGCAGATATGCTTTGGTTCTCACAGCAGGCTCTATTGAATAATCAGGACCAGTGTCCCACCTAAATATCTGTTTCATCTGAGTGTCACCCAGGCTCCCCCAGTGTCCCCCCGTGATAAGAAGAGGAGGCACAGGCCGAATTGCAGAATCTGTTCTGAGCAGCTCTGATGGGAAACACCCCCCTTCTGCAGCTAAAGCTCTTTCCTGGCTGGGAAGAAGAGATAACGACAACCCACAGGAATCTCATTTCCTTCTCTCTGAAACCCTGCGCCCCTTGCAGCAGGCTGAGCAAGGGACCACCATGGCTGGGTTGCAGAGAAGGTAGATGAGAGAGGACGCCATCTCTACTCAGGACTGTGTCTCCCTGGACACCTGCCTACCTTGGGCTCTTGGGATGCCGACTGAGTTTCCTGCTCTGTTCCTTCCGTCTGCTCCAGATGCCCTCCAGAATCAGTATCCACCCTCCTGTCTTAGGGCTCTTCCCAGAAACCCCTGTTCCTGGAACCCCCTGTTAACCCCTCATGTTCTCTTTCTCTTTCAGTTCACGGCTCGGTGCTGTCCCTGGCCTCCAGTGCCTCCTCCACATACTCCTCAGTAAGAGCAATAACTTTCCTTCCTCGCTCACTGCTGTCCCTACCAGCCCATGCTTCCTGAAAGCTCCTTCAGTTGGGCCACTGTGGGGAGCAGCRGGGAGCACTACTATCTCTTCATTACCCCTGATGGATCTTGGGTGGGGATGGGGAAATGTGCCTACAGCTTGGAGCTCTCACCTGGGCACCTCAGGTCCTCACCTTTGATGCTTTCTGTTCCCCTTGAAGACTCTCCTTGTTATAGAGCCCTTTTCTCCCCCTGAAAAAATGGAAAACATTTATAGCAAGGCAAGCTGGGTAGGTTTCATTAGGCTCTAAGACCCCCAACAATGTATAGAATTGACCAAATGTTTCTTGTGGGGCATCTCCCAGAGCATTTGATTCTCTGTTTTGTTGTGTCCCTATTTCTTCACTCCTCAGGTTGCTAAGCAGAAAGGGTTACCTTTCAGCACGACCAAAATTTCGTTTCCTAACCTTCTCAGCAGTGACAAAGTTGGCTGGAGTTGACTGCCCGAGAAGTCTTTTATTTAAACCCTAGCATAGATCTGAGCTGAGACCTCAGGAGCCAGGGCCAAGGAACAAGAGATCCCACCTCTTTGAACCTCTGAATCCCGCTTCTTCAAGTCTTTGCCCTGCCACTCACTGGGGCCTGGCTTCTTCACCCCTGTAGTAACACCTGCTCTCTCTCTTTCTCTCCCTCTGTGCTCCCTTCTTCAGGCTGAGGAGAGGATGCAGTCTGAGGTAGGGTACAAAGCCTTGGTCTCTGCTTGTTAACACCACTGCGCCCATTTTCCTTCCAAGTACCCTGTTTCTTCTGCCACCAGTAGTTTGTGTTTTCTCTTCTTTCACAGCAAATCCGGAAGCTTCGTAGAGAACTGGAATCATCCCAGGAAAAAGTGGCCACCCTGACATCTCAGCTTTCTGCCAATGTGAGTGCCTGGAATAGGGAAAGACCTGGGCAGTTATTTTGGCCAAAGTTAGATAAGATCAACCAAGGGAGGAAAATTAGCTGAGAAGCGTGCCCTGGGCTAGACTGCAGGGAGGGGTGTTCCCACAACCCTACAGTGGAGAACCTGAGGATTGTCCTTCACCTTCTTTAAGTCTGTTTTTATAAAAATTTATTTTTCCCCCACCCTAATGAGTAGGTGTGGATACACTGGTGTCTGGTAGACTTTTATCTTTCTCTTGGAGAAAGATAAGAGGAGTACCAGTGGTCCTGCAGGGGATGGAAACAATCTCGCCATTAGCCATGAACTAATGTTATGAATTATAATTATGGAGCCCCGAGAATCCTTCCCTGGATGTGTTCATGTGTTTGTTCATGCCACGTAACTGGGCAGGCATAGAACTGGTCATTAGAATTCAGTCTGGGGACCACCACACTATTCGAAGCCTAATTCTAGGCAGAATTTGGGGGGGGGGCGGGGGGAGGGCTCAGTGCACAGATCAGACCCAAAGCTTTGCGCGCACACTGGACTCGTGCTCCACCTCTGAGCTATTTCCCTAGCCTCTCATTCCCATTATCCTTCACTCACATCTGCCCTGCTAGCAATCTCCTTGGCAGTTTGAGCTTTTAGTTGGCAATAGTATTCTTTGTTTCTGCTCTCAGTACACCCACTTATAGTGAGTTTCTTCCTTGTAGGCCTTAGTTTTTCTACTCTGTGAGATGGGGAGAAAAGACGCCACTTCATCTAACTAGGTTGTTGTAGTTCCTCCCCTGTGACCACGTTGCAAACAGAGAACATAAGAGCCATTTTCCCCCAAAGCTATAAACAACAGCTGAGCCGGATCTGCAGGAGCGTTCCAAGTGTTTGCACAAAAGTAACCATGTCTGCAATTTCCGCAGTAGTTTCTGGTTTTCTCTCTTCCCATCCTCTCTGGGGAACCCAGCTGTTGGGCCTAGGTCTGTTCTTTGGAATCAGGTAGGATCTTCACCAAGATTTTCCATGTTTCCAAATTATTGCAATAGCATAGCTCCCTCACCACATTGGTTATTGTCTTTATTCTTTTCCCAAATCCCCAGTTTATAAGTTGCACACTTACCAGTTTGTTTGAAGCTCATATCAAGCACTTTTTCCCACTCTTGAGGACCCAAAAGAATTATGACAGACAAAGCCAGACATGATAGTGAATGCCCGTAATCCCAATGACTCAGAAGGCTGAGGCAGGATGATTGCAAGTTCAAGTCCAGTCTGGCAATCAAGCGAGACCCTGTCTCAAAAAAAAAAAAAAAAAAGAATCATAACACAATCATGAACCAACTTTTCTCTCCTACATGCCACACCCATCAAGGCCAGTGGCCTGGGTCACATCCTGCACACCCCAGGAAATTCATGTCTGGGAGATGCTGGGGGAGAGGCACCTGGGAGGCAGAGAACATTATGTCTCATTCATTTATACTGCAGTCTGTCAGCCATCGTGTTGTCAAGACTGGGCTATAGCCAAGAAAATGAATTTAGAGGGTGATTTTTCTTAGAACAGGAAGTTCCATTTGGCTAAAAGAGAGAACAATCTAAACACCCAGACACGGTGAGTTCTGAATCTTAGATTTTTGCTGAAGCTCAGAGCCCTGCCCTCAAGCAGGAGATGTGATGGCAGGATTCTGGAAAGGTCCCACATCTGGGATGCCCTGATGCTAAATCAGACACTGTCATGTTGAATAGAACTTCCAAGACACTGAAGCTGGAGGACTCCCCCTGAATTGGAAGGAGTGCAGGCTCCCAATGCTAACCTCATGATAGCACCATCGTTTAACCTTGAGCTTCTCAGGCACCTTAGCTCTTGACTGGGATTTAGGGTAGGGGAGGAAATGAAGGACATGGGAGGGAAGGCAAGTCCCCCAGATGAGGAGAGGCCAGCACAGAAAAGCACACAATAGGCCAGGGCTTCTGCAGGGCTCATGAGTAGATTTTCTGGGATCTCAGACATGTGCCAGGATATAGAGAAGCAAATAAGACCTAAGGCCCAGAAGACAGAAGAGGTGGGGGCATTTGCTTAGGTCATGACATACATCAAGCCCAGGCCTTGACAAATTCACTATAGAAGTGGAAGATGAGGCTCAGAAGGGACCAAAGTGATCACCTCCAGTCATGGTCCAGTCATGGTTTCAAGGACACTGAGTGAAAACAGAAGGGAGAATTATAAACCAACAGAAAGCAGTGGGTATCCCAGACATATTAGAGATCTGGGATAAAAGTCCTGCCCAGAATAAGTTCATCACTTCCTGCTAGGGTCACCAGCTGGCTCAGATGCCCTCACTGAAAGCTCTCTCCCCATCCTCCAGAGTTTCCCGGTYTTGTCCCATACCTCCTTCCCTTCCCTTTCCCATACATCTTGCTCCAGCTGGGCAGGGAGAGTTCAAACCATGCTCCACTGTGGCCTGGGCGCCACTCTGCACCTTCCTCAGCTGGCCCTCCTGTATTCTACACTCCTCTTGAAGCAGACCTGACACCTAGTGGCCAGATGGTGTAATGCCCCTGGAAGTTTCTTGCTACTTCCCTCTAGCCCTGCAAAGTGGAGTCAGAAGAAACCAGAAACAAGGCGCAAAATAAGAACAGGTTAAGAAGCAGAGATGAAAGATATGCACCATACAGATTCTCCTGGGAGGTTACCCCTCCCTTGGGGGCCAGACCACTATTTAAACCAAAATAAGACCTACCCCAGAGAATATGACCCTCGTGTCAAGCCTGCCACCCACATGTCACATAGAGCAGAGGAACCATCCCATCCCTGGTAGGCACCAGGTACCAGATCCCTACTCTACCCTCCTGCGGTCCCCAATGTTCAAGAGGCTGGACCTGCCGGAGAATCGCTGTATCTCCATCTTGTCTGCTCAGGGAAGTCAATATTTTTAAATCCTCAAGAATTTTGTTGGCCTTGGTCACCTCTGATACACAGAAAATCAGTTAAAACTGCTTTCCATGTCAGTGTGTCCCTCTACTGRGACTTTGCAATGTAAGATCCCCTGATGTGTTTGTTTCAGGCTAATCTAGTGGCCGCTTTCGAGCAGAGCCTTGTGAGTATGACATCCCGCCTGCGACACCTGGCAGAGACAGCAGAGGAGAAGGTGAGAGGCCTAGGTGGGGAGGCCAGCTTCCCCTCCCCCACAATCACCAGTTTCTACCTCCCTGACCATGGCCCAGCACTCTCCAGCTGCCCCTTGGTACCCTGTCAGCATCTTCCTTGCCCCAATTCCCTGCCCTTTTCTATCATGTCAGGGAGAATTCCAGGGCCTAGCCCATTGCCTGGCTCATTGTAAGTGCTCCTACTAAGCCCAACTAATGACCATTTTCATTCTTTCTTAGGACACTGAGCTGCTGGATTTGCGAGAAACCATAGACTTTCTGAAGAAAAAGAACTCTGAGGCTCAGGCAGTCATTCAGGGAGCCCTGAATGCCTCAGAAACCACACCCAAAGGTAGGGGGTCCAACCACAGATTGAGGGAGAACAGGGAAGGGGGGAAAGAAGATGAMTGCAGGTTTTTGTTTTTGTTTTATTTTGCAGTCCTGGAGATRGGACCCAGGGCCTATTGCATGCTAGGCAAGTGCTCTAACACTGAGCTACACCCTGTGTCCAATTGCAGGTTTTTATGTGGGCCCACAATGGTCAGCTCCCATATCAAATTTCTAGGAGAACCAGGCATGATGCTGTACACCTATAATCCCAATTTTGACGAAGGAGGCTGAGGCAGGAGGATTGCAAGTTCAAGGCCATCCTCATCAGCTTAGCAAGATACTGCCTCAAGATAAAAAAATAAAAAGGATTGGRGTTGTAGCTCAGTGGAAAGGTGCCCTTGGCTTCACTCCCCACTCTCCCCGCCCTGCAATTTTTTCTGTACGGTGATGTCCCTTAAGTGCCCTTCAGTGGGGTATCTGTACTAATCAATGAGAAGTGCCAGGGAACTGATCCCCATCCTAGGGGATGGGGGCAAGTAGAGGAAACCTCTAATCTCCATGAGTGCCCTCCTCAACCTTCAATTTCTTGGCTTATTTTTTAATCAGTTTGTTTTATTGCTGAGCTTTTAAAGTTCATATATTCTGGGCACTAGACCCTTAACAGATAATGATTCGCAAATATTTTCCCTCGTTCTGTGTGTTGTCTTTTCACTTTCTTCAAAATATCTTTTGCAGAACAAAGGTTTTCCATTTTGATGAAGTTCGTCTATTTTTTTTTCTTCAGCTATGTGTRCTTTAGGTGTTGTATCTAAGAAACTATTCCCCCATCCACGGGAGAAGGAGGAAACAGGAATAAATCTAAGTGGTCCAAATCCAAGGTCACAAAGATTTATTCCCATGTTTCCCTCTATAAGTTTTTATAATATTAGCTTTTAAATTAGGTCTTTGATCCATTTAGAATAATATTTAATAAAAGATTGATAGATAGAGGGTCCAGCGCCATTCTTTTACATGTGAATATCCAGTTGTYCTAGCAATATTTCTTTAAAAGATTATTATTTTTTCCCTCATTAAATTGTCTTGGTATCTTTAGATAATCAATTGGCCAAAAATTTAAGTGTTAATTTCTGGACTCGGTTCTATTCCATTGATCTTTAATGCCTATCCTTAGCCAGTACTGTACTGTGGGCCCACAAGGGTCAATTACTGTATCAATTACTGTGGCTTTGTAGAAAGTTTTGAAATTAGGAAATGGAAGTTCTCTGACTTAGTGCCTCTTCATTATTGCTTTGGCTACTCTGTGCCTTTTGCATTTCCCTGTGAATTTTAAGATTGGTTTGTCAATCTCTGTTTAAAAAAAAAATTGGTGAGATTTTGATAGGGATTGTGTTCAATCTGTGTATCCATTTGGAGAGTATTGCCATTGTAAGAATATCAAAGGGCCATGCACAAGGCTCTGGGTTCCATCCTGAGCAACACACACACACACACACACACACACACATACACACACACACACACAGAATGTCAAATCTTTCCATCCGTGAACTTGGCGTGCCTTCCCACTTATTTAGTTTTCCAGTTCTTTCAGTGATATTTTGCAGTTTTATTGTAAAAGTCTTGTATTTCTTTTGTTAAACTTATTTTTATGCTGTTATAGGATTGTTTTCTTAATTTTCTTTTTGGGTTATTCATGACTAGTGCATAGGAATACAACTAATTTTTTTATAATGTATTGATCTTATATCCTACAAACTTGCTGAGCTCGTTTGTTAGCTCAATATTTACAACCTTTTCTCTCTCTTTTTTAAAAAATATTTCTTTTAGTCATAGTTGGACACAATACCTTTATTTATTTGTTTTTATGTGGTGCTGAGGATTGAACCCAGTGCCTCACACATGCTAGGCAAGCGCTCTACCACTGAGCCACAACTCYAGCCCCATAATCTCTTCTTAATGTGTGTTTCTACCAATATTATTCTCCTGAGTAACAGACCTCTGTTTCCAACCATTTTTGGACGTTTCCATTTAGTTGACTTCATAGGTTTTCTCTAACTTAACATTTCCAGAATTAGAAGTCATCCCCTCCACCCCACTTGTAAGTACACAAGCCAACTCTTTCCCCCCCCCTACAGTTCTGGCCACCCCACGTCTTATCATCTGCCTGGTCACCCAAGCCTCAAATGGGGAATCATGCTTGACTCCTCAAAACTTCCCTCTGTACAGCAAGTTAGTTCTAACTCCCCCGTGTAGATCTCAATTGTATTCTTCCTCTGTATTGTCACTCTCCTAGCTCCAATTTTCATTCTTATTCTCCTTGGTCATTGCAGTAATTCCCTAACTGTTCTTTTTTTGGTCTGGGCCTTCCTTTACACTACCCTAAGAGTAATTCAGTTAAGACCAGAACACATTTATTTGAATATGAACTAGATATTAGGCGAAAAGAAATATTGTTAATTTTCTTTGGTGTGATAAAGAAATTGTGGGGGAATGTCTTATTCTTAGAAGATGTGTCCTGAAGCCAGGCATAGTGATGCTCACCTGTAATCACAGTAGTTTGGGAGTCTGGCCAGTTTGAGGCCAGCCTCACCAACTTATTGAGGCCCTATCTCAAAATAAAAAATAAAAAGGGCTAGGGATGTGGCTCAGTGGTTAAGCACCCAGGGATTCACTCCCTGGAAAAAAAGAAGATGCATTCTGAAGAATTTGTGGTTAAATATCATGTTGTCAGCAACTTATTTTCAAATTGTTCAAGAGTGGGTTGGGGGGGGCAAATAAAATAAAATATAACATTTGTTGAAGTGGGTGGAGGGCATATGGGTGTCCATTGTACTATGTTTTGAGTTTTTTCTCTTTGTTTGGAATATTTTAAAGAACCAAGTTAAAAGGAGGAAAGAATAGCTGGGTACAGTGATGCACTCCTACAATCCCAGTGACTCAGGAGGCTGAGGCAAGAGGATCATAGATTTAAGACCAGCAGCCTCAGCAATTTAGCAAGGCCCCAAGCAATTTAGTAAGACCCTGTCTCAAAATAAAAAAGGACTGGGAATGTAACTCAGTAGAACTCTATGCTAAAGGTTTGGAATGCATCTCCCCAGGTTTTTTTTTTGTTGTTGTTGTTTTTGTTTTTTTGGTATTAGGGATTGAACCAAAGGATGCTGTGCCACTGAGCCACATCCCAAATCCTTTTTTATTTTTCAATTCTGAGACAGGTTCTAATTTGTTTAGGGCCTCAAAAAGTTGCTGAGGCTGGCCTTGAACTTGCAATCCTTCTGCTTTAGCTTCCCAGGTCTGAGATTCTAGGCATGCACCACCATAGCTGGCTCACCTCTTGATTTTAAATAAAGTTTTAGTGACACACAGTCACAATCATTAATTTACATATCATCTACAACTGTTTTAAAGCCACAGCAGCAGAATTGAGTAGTGGAGACAGATCCCATGGCCACAAAGCCTAAGATATTTACTGTATGGCCCTTTGCAATAAAAGTTTGCCAGCCGCAATGGTGAACAATACCGAAGGTTATGTGGTGAAATATAAAGACCTATCTCTAAGGGGTTGGGGATATAGTTCAGTTGGTAGAGTGCTTGTATCACATGCACGCAGCCCTGGGTTCAATCCCCAGTACCACACACACACACGCACACACAAGAAAAACCTGTCTCTGAATTACTCCTCCAAATACCACTCCCTAAAGGTAAGTACTGCAAGAGATCTTACAAATCTTTCCAGAAATATTCATAAAAAACAAATACAATTCCATTCCTTCAATGAAAATGAAAATTTATGTCCTTCAAATAAGCATATTCTCTTGAGGACTTTCCACATCTTTAAAAATAACTGAAATATTCTGTTGTATCATAAACTAGTTTCAATAATTATTGAACAGAGGGTCTTCAAGTGTTTTGGGAGTGTTGGTAGTTCCAACATCAGATTCTAGGTTCTGATTTCCTGGTACTATCAAGGGAAAATTATAGCTTAATGATCCATTTCTGGTTATGGAGAGAGTGCGAAAATAGCCAAATTCAATCCATATCTCTTTCACTTTACAGCTCTTATTTCTAGAACAGTTGCCACCTAACTAGTTCTCAACATCTAGAATAGTTTCCTGCTCCTTCATCTTTCTCATTGTTAACATAAAAGCTCTATTTTTTTAAAACTCTTCTGACATTGTAATTAAGTAAGATGTTAACATTGGATGACACTGAGTGAAAGGTGGTGTACATTTCTTTGCAACTTTCGGTACATCTATAATTATTTTGAAATAAAAAATAAATAATAATAAATTTTGAGAACTTTTACCTTTAGTGTTTTTTTATATATATTGAAACATGATTGACACTCCATAAATGTTTGTTGAACAAGTAATTTTAAAAATGAACAATGTAGCCTGGCACAGTAGCCGCATGCCTTTAATCCCAGAGGCTCAGGAGGTTGAGATAGGAGAATCGCAAGTTCAGAGCCAGCCTCAGCAAAAGCAAGGTGCTAAGCAACTCTCCAAATAAAATACAAAATAGGGCTGGGGATATGGCTCAGTGGTTGGTACCAAAAAAAAAAGAACAATGTGTACCTGAGAGTTAGTTGATTCCCTTCCCCTCTTATCTTCTGTAGCTAGATTTGCCTTAAGTCTCCTATCTTCTCTAAATCTACCTCTGTGATCCTCCTGTTTGTACTTGGCCCCTAGAACTACGGATCAAGAGACAGAACTCCTCAGATAGCATCTCAAGCCTCAACAGCATCACCAGCCATTCCAGCATTGGCAGTGGCAAGGACGCTGATGCGAAAAAGAAGAAGAAAAAGAGTTGGGTAGGTAGAGGTTTGGGGGCGGAACTACATAGAATCATGGTGGACCACCTCCACCTCAGTGTAGGGATCCGATCCTTCCAGGATTAACCAAGAGGTGGCCCTTCTAGTAAAATCCTCAGTCAGATATCCGCTCAGAGCAAGGTCTGCAAAATTGTCCCTCCCTGCCCCCATTCCCTACTTGTCCCAAAGCTCTCCCTGCGATCTTGATACACACCTGCTTTCCTGCAGCTCTCCCTACTTGTTAGGTCAGATGCATTAGACTCCAGAAGGAAGCAGAGAAAATACCCAGAAGGAAATGAATTACCATTTCTTTCCACCAACCCCCCACTACCTTATTCACTATAAAAAAAAAAGATTTTTATAAACAAAGCAATTAATTCTAGATRCTTCGGGAGGTCACATCTTCCATTTGAGAGAGGTATTTGTGGAGCTTTTCTCGTTACTTTGAAAGTACTCTCGCTATTCCATATGGCTAGTACAGAGGCAGGGTTTGGTTTTGTTTTTTTAATATGTGTGCATCCTCTTCCCCAATACCCTTAATTGACCTTGGATGACCTTCCTGAGATTCTTTAGTCAGGTCTATACCATTTTTAGCTTCCCCAGCTCACTGTGGAAGGGAAAGCACCCTGGATGGAGGCATCTGTCCTCTGTCCCCTATTCAGGACAAGTAGCCCACAGACCTTTAGGTAGTCCAGATAGGAGCCGGCCGTGTGCAATGAGTGATTAAGTGTTGCTTCTTTTTTTTTTTYCCCCCTTTCAAAATGCTGACTTCAAATCCCTATTTTTTTCCAGGTCTATGAGGTAAGAGACCCGGTTCCTCTCCCCTTATTTTCTCTTTCCCTCTGCCATACCTTCCCTGTTTCCAGAGCAACTCTCTCCCCATGAAAATAAAAATGGCCACTCATAACACTAACCGTAACAACCGCCCTGGAGTTCCCGACTCACTCCACTGCATGGTCCATCCACAGCTGCCCCGTGTGAGGACAGAGGAGCGGTCTGGTCGTGGGTCAAATGGGAAAGTCAGACAAAATCCAAATCTGTTCCCTACTGCCTTCCCTTGTTACAAAATTGGACTATTCTAAAAAGAAGTCAAGTTGAGCCCACCCTGTTCAGAACATTAGCCATCTAATTTTATTGACTTATTTAGAGACAAGGTCCTGCTAAGTTGTCCAGCCTGGCCTCGGATTTACAGTCCTCCCATCTCAGCCTCCCAAGGAGCTGGGATCACAGGTGTGCACATCACCCAGCAGAGCCTTTTTTGGTTTTGCTCCATTAAACCTAGAAGCCCAAAATAAAAGAATTACTGAATGATGGTTATCATCACATAATTTCCAGAGTTCAATTGGGGTCTAACCTGGAGATTTAGCTCTAGAGTAAGATAATTCAGAGAAGGTGCCAGTCTAGGGTACACTTAAGTCACCTTATAGCCTAAAACCTTCTAAGCATTCACAGAGTTTCCAAAGACATTTCAGGGATTAGAGTATATCTAAGATATATAGAAAGTGAACTCAAAATGCTGGTTCCAATTCAGATATCGAGATTCACTCTAACCCTGTTCCAACTTCATACTAGGTGTTGTGGCAGATATGAAGAATTGGATCCAGTATCTCAGTCATGAAGGAGACTGCAATATTGCTGGAGACACACACACAAAAGTATTGTACATAGAAAATGTGTAACAGTCCAGTGGCCAAAACGCTTATTCAGGCAATAAGTGCTAACACAGCTCAGATGAGAGACTGGGGTCACAGCGGGCAGGCAGACATCGCAGAGGCGGCCAAAGTCAAACTGAGGTGGGGCTGTGGTGGTGAGGAACACGTTGGCATGCTTTGCACATGGACACTGTCTGCTCAGAAGGGAAGCAGGGGGCAAGAAAAAGTCCAGTGCAGCCAAGGCCCTGACTGGGTAAGACAGAGCACAGGTGGGAAGGCCTGATTTTAAATCTGATTCTTTAGGTTAGCCTTTCTTGAAGTGTGTTCCATAGGTCACCTATCCATTGGGACGCTCCTTAAAAAGTGACACTATCATTAAACAAATTTGAGAAGCACTACATCTTCTGCAGGACACATCTGCAGAGGAGAAGCTCTGAGATATCCAGTAAAGAATCTTCTTTCTTCATAATCCATTGTTTCCTGAACTCATTTAACCATGGAACCACATAACACTAAACATCCCCTAATAGTTCTGGCTTTTGGAATACTGAATGACACATAGACCACTGTTCTCACTTAGAATCTTTTTTTTTTTTTTTTTTGTTAGTGGTGGGGGACTGGGGATTGAACCCAGGCATGCTTTACCACTGAGTCACATCTCCCGTGCCTTTTTATTTTTTATTTTGAGACAGGGTCTCCCTAAGTTGATTAGGGCCTCACTAAATTGCTGCACTAGCCTTGAACTTGTGATGCTCCTGCCTTTAAAGTTGCTGAGATTACAGACGTGCACCACCGCACCCTAATCTCACTTGGAATCTCAGATCTTAGATCTTAGATCTCAGAGGGCTTCTGTCCCAGACTGATTGGTTACAGAATTTCTTTCTACAAACACAGAGACACACAGAGCTTCCCTTAAGGCAGTGATGTGGAGAAGAGCTCACTAAATTGAAAATTAGCAAGCTTGAATTCTAGTCCCATGTCTTCCTTCAGTGATGCTGTGTCAAGCAAATCAACTCTGGCCTGATCAGCCTCGGGTCTTTATCTCCTCAGAGAACTAAGCTTTATGGTGCTTTTGAGCCCTGATTGCTCAATGATATTAAGTCCCTGGAACTATCCAGATGTGCATATATACTCTGTCACTCATCCTCACGCAGCCAGATTGGTCATCCTTTATGTCTTGCCTAGTAGAAATCCCAACACCACCCACCAGCCCCATCCTTCACCTAACAGACTTTGTGTCCCGGGAGAGACATTTAGAAAGGATATCCTCAAATTTTCCCTTCATCTTTCTCGCTGTCCCAAAGATCTGGTTTGCCTTTGTCCCCCATAGCCTTCGACCCCTCCTTTACTCTCTGTCTCTTGCTGCCATTCYGTGTCTGTGTCCCTGCGTGTGTGTGCATGCTGTATGGATGCATGTGAATGGGTGTGGGACAGGACCCTGGTTTGCATCTTCAGCTCACATCCCTAACACCCAAGCTCGTCAACACCGAGATTAAACAAGCTATGGTCTGATTGTAATGCCCCCAGTACCTAAGTACGTGCTGGGAAATAACCCTTATCCTAGGACTGCAAAATAGCAAAAAAAAAAAAAAAGTGCTTATGTCTGGTTGTTTTAACCATTCTGTGATATGCTGGGCACAAAAGTACTGAATGAAATTTAGTATACCACTGCCTTTTCTCCGTCTCCACAGAATCATGTTGTCAGTTTCTGATTGATTTCTAAAGAGATGAACAGGTTCAGGGCCGATAAGCCCAAATCAGAGGTGGCATCCTGAGACCCAAAATGAACTAGACTGTGCCGTAATTGGTCTGCTGGAGAAGGTGGGATTGGATTGTTGAGAGGTATACACCATGTGACTTCTGGGGACATCTCTCCATCCTCATCAGGGGCACAGTTCCCCCCATGGGAGAGAGAGGACTCAGGAAGTTTCCATAACCCATAACAATGGCAAGCTGAAAGATTCCACTCTTTTCCTCTGCCTCAGTTTCTGGCCACTCTTCTGTCCCTGTGCCATGAATCAAAGGAAGCCTCTAGGAACAGGCTTAATTACCACAAGTAAATTCCCTGCCTCCACAGCTCTCTGCCCCAGATGTCCCAAATCAGTCCCCCTCCCACATCCTTAGAGTGGATCCCTGACATCTCTCTTCCTGGATCTGCTCTTTTCTAGCTTCGAAGTTCCTTCAACAAAGCCTTCAGCATAAAAAAGGGACCCAAGTCAGCCTCCTCATACTCTGATATCGAGGAGATTGCCACACCAGACTCCTCGGCCCCCTCGTCACCCAAACTGCAACATGGCTCCACAGAGACAGCTTCGCCCTCCATCAAGTCCTCCAACTCATCCTCTGTGGGCATTGATGTCACCGAGTAAGTGCTCTCACCACCTGCCACTCAGCCTGGCACTGTGTGAACGGGCAGTGAGCCCAGAGACCCTGGACAAACAACGCCTAACTGCGGGCCTCTCTTTGGGCATAGAAGACCACAGAGGGACTCTTCCTCTCCTACTGATTGGGTTCCATGGGCAGGAGGAGACAAGGCTACTAGCCGCGCATGGCCCTACCCCGGTAACTAGTGCTTCCCCAGTAGCCTGGCTGACACRTGCTTTCTTACAGGGCCCCTGCTCATTCAGCCCCCCACCCCAGGCTGTTCCACACCAACGAGGAGGAGGAGCCAGAAAAGAAGGAGGTATCCGAGTTGCGCTCGGAGCTGTGGGAAAAAGAGATGAAGCTCACAGACATCCGCTTGGAGGCCCTCAACTCTGCCCACCAGCTGGACCAACTTCGGGAGACCATGCACAACATGCAGGTCAGTGTCTGGGCCGAGAGCTACAGGAATGGGGAAGTCAAGGCCTGAGATCGTCCAACCCTGCCCCCCTTCCCTGTCTGTTCTTGCCGTAGTTGGAGGTGGACCTGCTGAAAGCAGAGAATGACCGGCTGAAGGTAGCCCCTGGCCCCTCCTCAGGCTCCACTCCAGGGCAGGTCCCTGGATCATCTACTCTGTCATCCCCTCGCCGCTCCCTGGGCCTCGCACTCACCCATTCCTTCAGCCCAAGTCTCACAGACACAGGTACCTGCTTGGGAGACGAGCCTGTAAGGGTGGAGAGAAGAACAGGGTTCATTCCACTGTTTCCATTCCGCTTGCTCCATGGCATTTTCCTTGGGCCAGGGAGGTAACAATGCCAAAATCAAGCAGATGCCCGTGTCAGGAGACATTAAGAGTTGTGTGTTTTTAGATCCTATTGTCTTTTCAGTTTGGGGCTCCAGTTTCTTCTTTGTGGCAAATAGTTATTTGGAAGCGATTATGACTAAAAAATTTAGGAAAGCCTGTGGTGCCCCCAAACCAATTAGTCCTTTTCAAACCCCACAGACCTGTCACCCATGGATGGCATCAGCACCTGTGGTCTAAAGGAGGAAGTGACCCTTCGAGTGGTAGTACGGATGCCCCCACAGCACATCATCAAAGGGGTAAGGAACTTCAGGAAGGGCCAGCGTAGGAACCCGCATAACACTGACGGTCCCCTGTTTTATGATGTACAAAAGTGACGTGCAGTCAGTGGAATCCATACTTTGAATTTTGAACTTCTCCTGGCCTAGCAGTATGCAATATGAAACTCTAATTGGGATATTGAACAGTGGCAGCAAACMACAGCTCTCAGTCAGCCACGTGATCACAGGGGARATGACCCTCGCTTTACAGTGGACTGCATTGCTGAGCTATGTTCAGTAGTTTAGGGATATTAAACATCAGCTCAGGATATTTGCAATTCTTGATGAGTGTATCAGGATGTGACGTCATTATAAGTTGAAGAGCATCCGTTCCGCCATATTGTTGTAAGAAATTCAGGGTTCCGAATGCTCCATACCAGAGTACTCAAATCCCCAAGCCTTCTAGGGTCTTCCTTTCTTAGAGTCATCTGCACTGAAGCTCACATGCTTCTACTTTGACCTTACAGGACTTGAAGCAGCAGGAATTCTTCTTGGGATGTAGCAAAGTCAGTGGAAAAGTTGACTGGAAGATGCTGGATGAAGCTGTTTTCCAAGTGTTCAAGGTAAAGGAATACATGTTCTCACCAGGGATGCTCATCCTGTCACGGGATATTGAGCCATTTATGCACTGGGACCCTGGGGACCTTGGATGCTCTATGGAGAAAGGGAACATAATAAGAGCATATGCCCTTCTCTTTCTCCACCTGCTTTTGTTTCCTCTAATATTTTCTCTTCCTTGTGGCTTTGTCAACTGCGTTGCATCTTTGCAGTGTCCCTCACCATCTCCTTCTTGTTCTCCCCTCTCTTCTCTCAGGACTATATTTCTAAAATGGACCCAGCCTCCACCCTGGGACTAAGCACTGAGTCGATTCACGGCTACAGCCTCAGCCATGTGAAACGAGTGTTGGATGCTGAACCCCCAGAGATGCCTCCTTGCCGTCGAGGTGTCAATAACATTTCGGTCTCCCTCAAAGGTCAGTCTTCATCTTTTGGGGTAAGATGGTGTGGCATCAAGTCAGGGAGGGGACCATCATGCATTTGTTCAGCAAGGATTTATYGAGAAGCTATAACTTGAAGGTGCTTGAGTAATGAGAGGTAGAAAAAGATAAATAAGATAAAGATAAGTTCTAACTTCTGTTCCCAGGAACATTTTTTAACCAAGCCTGGGCTTCTTGCTCTGCCCACTCAACTCCAGCTCAGAGTATGTCCCTAGAAACGAGGGCCAAGTTTTCAGAATTAGGGGCAAGGGGATTCCTATGGAACTGGGACACATGGCTCTGAGTGTCTTCAGTGGGCTTCTAGATAAAGAAAGGAAAGCTCTTTGGGGTCCCTTGCCCTCCTCAGGGCCACGTTCCAGACTCACGCTTTCCGTGGTGGGGTTCAGGTCTAAAGGAGAAGTGCGTGGACAGCCTGGTGTTTGAGACGCTGATCCCCAAACCGATGATGCAGCACTACATTAGCCTCCTGCTCAAGCACCGGCGCCTCGTGCTCTCAGGCCCCAGCGGCACTGGCAAGACCTACCTGACCAATCGCTTGGCTGAATACTTAGTGGAGCGCTCTGGCCGCGAGGTCACCGAGGGCATCGTCAGCACCTTCAACATGCACCAGCAGTCTTGCAAGGTGGCTGCCCCCAAGATCCCCTGCCAGCCTTCCTTCAGACCCCAGTCTCCCCAGGACCTTCCCTGGGTTCCTTTCTAGCCCCCTTTTCCTTCCGTCCCCACCTGCCATAATATTTTCCCTTTCTTCAGTATTCTTTTCCTTTCTTCCCTACCTCCTTTCTTTTCTGGCCTTCTCCCTCCCCTGCCCCCCCAATTTCTTTCCAGACTTTTGTCCTTAACTTCTTCCACCTCCACCTCTTCTTCTTCTTTTGTCCATAGTTCTTTCTCCACACTTGGTCTAGTAAGCTGCCTTCCCTTTAGTTGATCATTGATGAAACTGACTCCTCGGCTCCACCTCACTCTCTGCCAACTCTGTTAGTTCCATCCCTTCTCTTATTTTCTTCCCTCTTCCTTCCTTTTCTGTATTCCTCTCTGACCTTGGGCTCTCTGGGAGGAATTATGCAGAGTTAAATATTATATATTGTGCCCCCCCTTCTCAGTGATGTCTTTTGTGCCCACTCTAATTCTTTGGAGTTGATTCAAATCTTAGATCTCTGCTGTTGTGGGGAGGCACATCCATTAACGGTAGAAAAGCCACKTAGAGAACAAAATGTATTCTCCACCTTTTGGGGATTTAGAGGCAACTGCTTAAGATGGTTGCTTGAGAGCCTCTGGGAGCACTGTTTATCAGTCTGTGGTAAATCTGGTTCTGAAATCAAATGTGTAAGTGCAACAAACAGGAGCCAAAGGCCCCAAGGAAATCCAGAACTAGCAGAGCTTCTCCAAAATTCCTTCCAGTGCGAATCTGGGTGCCAACTCCTGAGTGTTAACCCACGATTTTCTTTGATTCCAGGATCTGCAACTGTACCTCTCCAACCTAGCCAACCAGATAGATCGAGAAACAGGAATTGGAGATGTGCCCTTGGTGATCCTACTGGATGACCTGAGTGAAGCGGGCTCTATTAGTGAGCTGGTCAATGGGGCTCTCACCTGCAAGTATCACAAATGGTAAGCTGGGGTGGGGACTCATCACAATGGGAAGAGGAGGTCCAGTCCAGACCAACCTATGAGCTTTCCATTGTGTGTACGTGTGTTAAGACAGATCTAAGTGAATCTTTTAATCCTTTCTTTCCCCAGTCCCTATATTATAGGTACCACCAATCAGCCTGTAAAAATGACACCCAACCATGGCTTGCACTTGAGTTTCAGGTAAGAACCTTGGCACTGGAAGAACCTTCTAATCCTACCCAAGAGCCTACACACTAATTAAATCCTGGGCTCTGAGAGCAGAGGGGCACTAAGTACCAGAAGGAAAGAGAAGTAGCCAGAGCCTTTCAGGCTGGGCAGAGAAAATAGATATATTTGCATGTTAGCTACAAGGCAGAGGGGACCTTTAAGGAGATGAAAGGATAGCAAAACTAGGAGGGACTCTGATAGGCTGCTGTAATAGGATTCTCTGCCTTTCCACCCTGACCCAGATCAGAGAGGTCAGGTGGTTATTTGAAGAGGGTCACTGATTTGAGAACAGCTCTGCAGGAGGGGATGAATCCTCAGTGTCCCCATTGCCACTCTGACCCCACTCTCCCCATTCCTGGTGGCAGGATGCTGACCTTCTCCAACAATGTAGAGCCAGCCAATGGCTTCCTGGTGCGTTACCTGCGGAGGAAGTTGGTAGAGTCAGACAGTGACATCAACGCCAACAAGGAAGAGCTGCTTCGGGTGCTGGACTGGGTGCCTAAGCTGTGGTATCACCTCCACACCTTCCTGGAGAAGCACAGCACCTCAGACTTCCTCATCGGTACAGGACTCCAGCTCCCCTGGGGCAAGAGACAGCTTCCCTCTTATAGCGCACCACAGGCGGGTGCTCCCTTTGCTTTCTGGAGTCTTCATTCTGCAAAGGAGTTGCAAGCCTTGTGGCTGCAGACTTAGAACCACTTAACCATTAAACCATGAGTCCCAAGTTTTCAATTCTGTAAATGTTTCAACAAAATTGACACAGGTACATCAAATTTGTTGGAAACCACATTCTACAACTCATAGAGCCTTTACATATTAGCATGACCCTTATTCAAATAAATTAAAATAAAATAAAAGGGATGGGGTATAGCTCAATGGTAGACGACTTATTTAGGATGTGCAAGGCTTTGGAAAAACAAAACTAACTCCTCCCTCATCTTTCCCCACAATTAAGGAGGGAAAATATATAGGAGGGAATGGAAGCTCCTCTTGTTCCCTGTCTCCCTTCTACATTGTGAGGCATGATTTATGAGACTGTCCCCCAGGCACTCAGTGCCTACCGGTCATGATAATTCTAAATTTCCTTTGATAGTCTGGATGTCAGCCCCCTCTGCTTGGTACTAACAGATAAAGGAGGCATAAGACTGGGGAGGTGTAGGTATCTCAGCCATCTGCATGATCTCATTTTTTTCCCTAGGCCCGTGCTTCTTCCTGTCCTGTCCCATTGGCATTGAGGACTTCCGGACCTGGTTCATTGACTTGTGGAACAACTCCATCATTCCCTATCTGCAGGAGGGAGCCAAAGATGGGATCAAGGTAAGCCCCACCCTCTGACCCCTCTCAAACTCCACCATCAGGCTGTCCCACCTCGTAAAGGAGAAACATTTCTTCAATATTTAGCGTGGAACTATTGGGATTAGTTAGGTTCTCTTTAAAAAGATAGAGCAAGGTCTGTGTAGACTAAGCTGCTTTCCRTTTGGCAGATGACTCAATGGCCACTGCCTCTAAGGCTCTCTCTCTAATCCTAGGCCTCTGGCTCTAAGCCCAGTTCACACCACTTTGTAGAAGGCAGAGCAATAGAAAAGTAATTGAGCTGGGAATTAAGTAAAGCTCTATTATAGCCTTAGCTATTTACTAACTACTAATCAGTGCGGTACATTGACCAAAGTTACTTAACCTTTTTAAATGTCCTCATGTATAAAACAGAGAGAGAGATAAATTCTGCTCTACCTTGTTTTGAAGACAAACAAAATAAGTAAAAAGATTTTTAAGTCAAAAAACTTTGTATAAGAAAGGAGCCATTTTATTTTTATTATTAGATTGATTGATTTATAATAATAATAATAATAATAATAATTATTATTATTATTATTATTATTATTATTCTTTTTTGGCACAAGGATTGAACTCAGGGGTACTTGACCACTAAGCCACATTCCAGCCCTATTTTGTATTTTATTTAGAGACAGGGTCTCACTGAGTTGCTTAGCATCTTGCTTTTGCTGAGATTGGCTTTGAACTCATGATCCTCCTGCCTCAGCCTCCGGAGCTACTGAGATTACAGGCATGCACCACTGCGCCCAGCTTAGATTTATTTTTATTTTATTTTGATTTTTTGATGGAGGAAATACCAGGGATTGAATTCAGGGGCACTCGACCACCAAGCCACATCTCCCACCCTATTTTGTATTTTTTTTATTTAGAGACAGGGTTCCAAACTCAATCCTCTTGTCTCAGCCTCCCAAGTCGCTGCGATTACAGAAGGGTGCCACCACACTCAGCCTTAGATTTATTTTAAAGTGATGAATTAAAAACACAAAATACAAATTAATGGAGTACCAAGTGATGATTCAATACATGTGTACATTGTGTAATGTTTAAGTCAGATTAAACATACCTACCTCCTCAAACAGTTATCATTTCTTTGGTAAGTAATACATCCTCTTGCACTTAAAATCCTTTTTCTTGCTTTTTGAAATTTACATTATTGTAATCTATAGTTACCCTACTATGCAGTAGCACACCARAACTTCTCTAACTTCTAACTAACTACAACTGAGTACCCCGTGATCAACCTTTCCCCATCTTTGTCCCTTCTTCTCTCCCTCACCTYTGGTAACTACCATTCTACTCTCAACATCTGTATAAAGTTGACTTTTTTATTGATATAAATGCAGTATTTGTCTTTTTATGTCTGGTTTATTTCATTTAACATAATGATCTCCAGTTCCATCCATATTTTTGCAAATGTCAGGATTTTATTCTTTTATAGCTGAATACAGAGAAATTTTTAGATAGGGCTCGCTAAAATGCAAAGAATACCTTTGACAAAATTCAGCACCATGATAAAAACACTGAGGAAACTAGGGGAAGAAGGAACTTACCTTAACTTCATATATATATATATATATATATCTCACAAAGCCAACATCATAGTGAATGGGAAAAACCTGAATGCAGTTCCTCTAAAATCAGGAACAAGACAGTGTGTCTGCTTTCACCACTCTTATTCAACATAGTTCTTGAAATTTTACGCAGAGCAGTTAGGCAAGAGAAGGAAATTAAAGGGACACCAATAGGAAAGGAAGACAGGTGTAATCTCAGCTGTTTGGGAGGCTGAGGCAAGAGGATCATAAATTTGAAGTTTGCCTAGGCAACTCAGTGAGACGCTATCTCAAAAAATAAAAATGGCTGAGGATGCAGCTCAGGTTAAAGACCCCTGGGTTTAGTCCCTTGTACTGGGGGAGGGGGGGAAGAAAGGAAGAAGTCAAATTATCACTGTTTGCAGATGATATGATCCTTTACTTAGAAGACCCAAAAAGCTCCACCAGAAGACTGCTAGAACTAAGAAACAAACACAGCAAAGTAACAGCATTGCAGGATACAAACTCATAGTACAAAAATCAATAGCTTTCCTATACACCAATAATAAATTTGCTGAAAAAGAAATCAGGAAAACTGTCCCATTCACAATAGCCTAAAAAGCAAAACAAACAACAGACAAACAAACAAAGAAAAAAAAAAAAACCTAAATCTAGAGCTGGGCATGATGGCTCACACCCATAATAAAAATAAGAATTCTAAAGAAGAATGAAATATCATTTGCAGGAAAATGGAACTTGAGAGCATTATGTTAAGTGAAATAAACCAAACAGAAAATGAAGAGCTGTATGTTTTCTCTGACATGTGGAAGCTAGAGAGAAAAAAGGGGGAAAAAGGTCTGTGTGTGTTGGTGGGCGGGGGGTGRGTCTCATGAAAATAGAAGGGAGCCCAGTAGAATAGAGGAAGGAGACCAGGGAAGTAGGGAGGGGAAGGATAGGAGAGGTCCTGGGATCCAATTATATTGTTATATCGTGTGCACGTACAAACATGTAACAACAGATTCTACTATTATGTATAAATATTATGCACCAATAAAAAAATAAAAACATTTTCACATAGATAAGTCTGTTTTCAAGAAAGTTAAAAAAATTAAAGGTATTATGAGTAATGTAGAATTTCCTACTTGTAAAGCAAAATCACAGGGTCATAAAATTTGTGTTATATTATGTTTCAATGCACCCTTGGATCCATAAACAGATGAACAAAGAAAGTGTGGTATTCATATATACATAATAGAAAGCCATTCCTACTTAAAAAAGAAAGGAGTCCTGTCATTTGCAAAGACATGGAGGAACCTGAGGGACATGATCTGAAGTGAAACAAGCAGGGTCCAGAAAAGAAAGAACCCATGATCTCAATCTTATGTGGAATCCCAAAAAGTTGAACTCAAAGAGAGTAGAATGGGGGTTGCCAGAGACTGGGGAGGTGGGAGTTGGGGCTGTGTTAGTCGAAGGACACAAAATTTCAGTTCTACAGGAAAATTAAATACAAGAGTATAATGTGTTAACTGTGATTAATGTATTACATACTTGAAAAGAGAATAGATTTGTGTTCCCACCTCACAYAAAAAAGTATGTGATCTCACATGCATATATTAATTTAGTTCAATTTAGCTACTCCACAATTTATGCATATTTCCACAAACATGGGTTTTCTTTTTGGCGTTTGTTTGTTTGTTTGTTTTGGTTCCAGGGATTGAACACAGTGGACTGAACTCAGTAACCACTGAGCCACATCCCCAGCCCTTTTTTTAAATTTTATTTTGAGTCAGGGTCTGGCTGAGTTGCTTAGGGCCTCTCTAAGGCTGGTTTTGAACTCACGATCCTCTTGCCTCCGCYTCCCGAGCTGCTGGGATTACAGGCATATGAAATAGATGTAATTTTTGTTTGTCAATTTAAAGAGTAAAATTAAAGAAAGATTTTTTTACACCTTTACTACAGTTTGTTATATTATCAAAATGATTTATATCAGTTTATACAAACATCTTCCTCGTTGGGAAGCTCAGGAAAATTCCACAGGAATAAGAGCCTCAAATTTTGTTCTGGTGGTGGTGATGGAGCAAACTATGGGAGATCTCCCACTGAGCTACGTCTTCAGTCCTTTTTATTTTGAGAGAGGATCTTGCTAAGTTGCCCAAATTGGCCTTAAATTTGCATTCCTCCTGACTCAGCCTCCCAAATTGGTGGGATTATAAGTGTGTGTCACTGCACCTGGCCAGAGCCTTAAATCTTTACATTTGAGGGAGTGCATGTTTTGAAGGAATATGATTTTGTGCAGGAACTATAAGAGAGTACACAAACAAGCCTCTAATCTGTGGGTTCCCCTCCCATTAATTTCTCCTCTCCAGGTTCATGGACAGAAAGCTGCTTGGGAGGACCCAGTGGAGTGGGTCCGGGATACTCTTCCCTGGCCATCAGCCCAACAAGACCAATCAAAGTTGTACCACCTGCCTCCACCCACTGTGGGCCCTCACAGCATTGCCTCACCTCCAGAAGACAGAACAGTCAAAGACAGCACTCCAAATTCTCTAGATTCGGACCCTCTGGTGAGTATAAGCCACACTAAGGTGAAAATAAAAGTACTGATGGATGGAATTTTTCCACAGTCTTCATGCATATTCAGAGGTGGGGGCTAAAGGAATTGAAAAGTTTCAACAAGTCCAGGACCAGAATGTAGCCAGTACAGAGCTCTGAGTACAGAATCTTGAGTTAGAGATTGCATGCTTACAGCCTTGCTGAAGCTAATTAATAATACATCCCAGCAAGATGCATTCAAGTAAAGACCCAACTTTCAGGCAGATTCCATGTAGAAATACCAACCAAAGAAGTAGAGCAATATGACACATTAGCACTCTCTACTTCTACCTTTCTTCTGCTACAATCCTGAGGACTGCTTCAGCTAAATGGATTTCATGCAACCCCTGTAGAAATCGGGCTGAGATGCATGACAAACTGGGCAGACATATCTAGATCCTCAGACTCTAATGAGGAAAGGCAAATTCAAACAAGGGAATAGTGTTTCACATTGGCAAAATTAATGTGTGGAAGCATAGACTTCACACTCTGCATGGGAGTGTTCATTGGTAAAACTATTCCAGAGGACATTCAKCAGGTTATATTAAAATTTAACATATTTAGCTGGGTGCGGTGGCATATGCCTGTAATCCTAGCAATTCTGGAGGCTGAGGCAGGAGCATCACAGGTCCAAGCCAGCCTCAGCAGACCTTAGCAACTCAACAAGAACTTGTTTCTAAATAAAATACAAAAAAAGGTTTGGGGATATGGCTCAGTGGTTAAACGCCCCTGGGTTCAATCCCCAGTACAAAAAGAAAAAAAGAAAAACTTGCACAAATCCAATGGCCTTGCAGTTTTACCTCTCAAGTAGGAAGTCTTCCAGTTGAGTCATAATGCATTTTTATTTAAATTATGACCTTGTCAAAAACAGATGAAGATAAAGAAAAGGAGATGAAAACCCTGAGATGTTTAGACCTGACATAGGATTTGTTAGCTGGGGAGAAACAGATTCATATAACATGGAGCCTCGCTGCTGGGTTATGATCTCCTGGAATGGGAATTGTTAGAGACAAAAGTGTTCTTATGACACTTCTCACATTCCCCCCAGTATTGGTGGGATGTGTGTTTCTTCTGCCCTCCCCTGAAGGGCACTCATGATGCAGGCAGAGGTGGTTCCCCCACACATCACACACGGCACCCTGTATAACGGAGATACCCCCAGGTGACCGCGTCCATGCATGTATTTACAAACAGGGTTGAAGCGATCATCATGCTTTTCATAAATAACCTCTTAACTCCAAGCTCTTAATCATTTCCAAACCAAGAATCAAACTTATGATCAAGGTTTTTCCTGTTTCCCTTCTGCAGGCAGGACCCAGCCTCCCTACTCTCATTAGTCTATTCCTTTGCCCCTCTTTAGATGGCCATGCTGCTGAAACTTCAAGAAGCTGCCAACTACATTGAATCTCCAGATCGAGAGACRATTCTGGACCCCAACCTCCAGGCAACACTCTGAGGTCCCAGCAGTCACTGTCACCCCGGACTACAGAAGGCTGGCATCAGCTTCCTTAGCTCCTCCTCTCCCCTCTTCTTTCAGAGCGCTAGCTCTCCAGCCGAGGAGGAGAACAGGAGGGAGGAGGAGGATAAGAAGAGGGGCAGGTTCTTGGTGCTGCACCTTGGAGAACTTCCTACTAGGGATTGGTGGGGTAGAGTTTGGGAACTTGTGTCCCCTAAATACATTTACTGGCCTCCTCTCACCATTTTGGGGAAAAGATGATTCTGGGTCTTTTCCTTGATTTCTTATTTCAATTATAAATTCCTGGGCTTTCTAGGAAAAGGGGTTCAGAAGACATCAAAAAACTCTGCAACAGCTCCTGATTCTCACAAACAACTCCGAGACAGTCACAGGTGGGGAGACCTGAGGGAGGCAGGACTCTCCGCGAACTTTCTTGCAGACCCTTCCCAACTCCATCACCACTGCCAACAACTCTTCCCCCAGAGATCTGGCCGGAGCCCAGAAAAGAAGCATGTGGTTTAAACAATGTGTAAATCAACCTGTAAAAGGTAAAATGCAATGGAAAAGATGAATCTGGAGAGAGGGGACCCAGTTGCCAAGAAAGAAAGAAAACTGCCAGCTCTTGCCTTCTGGATAACAGGGGATGTTGACAAGATGCCTGCCAAATCTAAGAAGTYGCCAAACCACAAAAATAACATTACAGCCTTCAGAGAAAGACTCCTAGCTCTGTCTTTCTACCCTCTAATTTAACATGCATGAGAGTCAATAAACCCTACTTTTTAATTTTTTATTTTTTTATTTTGCATTGATTTTTCCCCCCTACCATCTGCCTATTTATTTTCCTCCCCTGCTTCCCCCCTTCTTCACATGTCCGTGAGATACTGGGTTGCTTTTTGAGGGGTTAGTTTGGCTTTTCCAAGTGGATTTTCTTAGGAGAATCTGATGCCATCTAATTGGTACCAGCTAAACACCTGTCATGCCACTCTATGTGGCATCCTTAGGGCCTATATAAGACGTGAAGCACTGGATCAGCAGTAGTGGGAGAAGAGGAACCCAGTTCCTTTAACTTCCCTTTCGCAAAAAGCACACGTTCTGGCCAGGAGCTCAATTGGCAACTTTGAGCTTCATTGTAGACTGTAGGAAAACCAAGAAATTGGAGAGACTCTTCTATCTTGTGGCTTGCTTGTCCCTCTCACTGCACTATTTAATGGTAGCCATTTCACCTGACTGAATCAAAATTCCCCAGCCAGCCCTTACTATTTGTTTTTGACAGGTGAGTATTCACTTGTAAGAGACTGAACAGCCATGTGAGACACTCCAAATCAGAATTATAGGTTCAAGGAGCTTGATTTGGTGGCCAAAATATCTGCCTTCTGGGGAGATCCCACATCTTGCAAGAAGTTGCTCTTTTCCTGATGTCCTGAAGGTCTGCCAGTCCATGTTCCTTCGGTTGACGGATACTGAGTACTTAACTGTGTACCAGTTACTAGATTTAAAAAAATAAGAGACAAGACTTGGGCCCGTAAGCTCATGTCTAGTAGAAAATGTTGACCCCCCATTAAATGCATACTACCTTGTATCTGGACCTTCAGGATCACCCAAGAAATGTAGCTGAAATCCAAGAAGTCAGCTAAGAAGCCTTTGATTAGATGTCTAATACATTGGGGGCAGAAGATCTGGGATCAACTAAGGTGGAACCTGAAAGACTATGGAATCTTGCTTGTCTGGAGTTGGCAAGTCTACTTCCTGCCACTTCTGAAAGCCCTAAGGGAACAGATTCCAGGCTGAACTGCCAAGTGGGCTGAAATTTCAGGGCTCTGCCAATCAGGGATATGTGGTGAGCTTGGGTTTAAAAGTTTGCTGTTCAGATTCCTAAGTAGCACAAGACTATCAGATTCTACAGGCATTCTGGATCACTCTGTTCCACCCAACCGAGGAGTAGATTCATCTGAATCTTCATATCAGAATATTTTCATTTAGTTCCCAAGATGGTCTAGTTTATCACCCCCCCCCACCCCAAAGAAAAGCTTCTGTTTTCACATGGTAGCTCCCAGGGAAGACAGGGTCCTCTGTGCTGGAGACTATTATTGCTATTGCTGCTAATTCCATGAGCCGTGAAGATCCCCCAACCAACTTGGCTGTAAAATATGCAATTCTGTGGTGGGAAGAAGCTGTTTGTCCAAGGATGGTGCTGAAATCACTGCCTTAAGGTCTCTGCTGCRCAAAATGAGGCCCCAGAGCTGGGTGTTCCAACTTAGAAGGAAGGAAAGACCAGATGGGCTTGCTTTGGACCTAGGCCTCTTCTGTGTACCCTATTCCAAGCTCCAGTCCCATGGCAAGGCTTAGACTTTTAATGCCATCTTAATCGGATGGTTGAGCCCTTAACTCTACTTTCCGGTGCTGCCCAGCCAGTGCCTTCTGACATGGATGTTACTGGCTACTTGAGAAAAAGGAGAGGGGAGAGCCCCTTCTTCCATTCCAACTGCCTCAGACCGCAGAGAGATTCTTGTCTCTCTGGTAACCATGGATACCACCATGAATTTTGTGTGGATCTTCAGCAGGTTTTTTTCTGGAGGCTTCTCATGCTCTGACTTTTCATTTCTATTCTTGGGATCCATCACCCTCTGCTCTTGGTTGACTGCTGCATTTAGCCCAGGTGTCTAATTGCTTTCCTCCAGAAAGTGTGTTCCCAACTTTGTGAAGTGGTAATGAAGCCTCAGCTTTCCCTCTGCAGTCTGGGACCTTGTTTACAGTTGCACATCTGGGCCCCTCATGGTAGGGATTGATCATCTCACAAAGGAATCCTGAGTATTTGGCAACTGTAGAAGAAGGTTGGGCCTCCTCATGGTGCTATAACCCCTTGGGACGCTCATCCAGACTTCTCTGAAGCAGAACACCAAGCTCCCCCGACCTGCTGCAAGAATGAACGGCAAGGAGCAAATCCGCAGCGTTCTCTCCTACCTACACACCTGCTTCTTGGTTGAGACTACTGGGATCCCTCAAAAAAGAAAACCAGGTCCCATAGCTAAATTCTCAACCCCCAGGCACCTTTGGAAGAATCTGGCCTAATTCTGGAATTTGTACTGTTTCCTTCCTCTCCAGCCCCTGACTTCATCCCTTACCAAAGCGAGCTAGTATAGAACATGGTTCAATACCTAACATCAATCTATGGGGAGAGCCACAACTCAGAGAGAGGTTCCTCGGCAGAGTCCCCCTCATTTCTGGATGGGGAAGACCAACAAGATGTGTCCAATATATTTTTTTCTCAGTCCCTGCCTAGGCACTAAAAATAAAATACTAGCAAATTGGAGGCTAATATGGGACCTGGTGTGTGTGTGTGTGTGTGTGTGTGTATGTCTGTGTGTGTTCATGTGTGTGTTTGTGTGTTGTGTCTCACATACACACATAAGCAGTTGGTTGTTGCTATGTCCTATCCTGAGGCTTCGTAGAGTATATTTAAGAATTCTATTCTTTGTGGCCACTTTACGGTGCTTATTTCTGTCTTCATGTAAATTCTATACCAATGCTCTTCATGTAGTGTAGCCATTGGGAAGGTAGAGGCTGGCAGGAAAGAAGAATTGGCTGAAAGTCCATGGAGAGACCGATGTACTACATTTTGGTCTTGAGTTACCAATCTTCCAACTAATCCATCCATACTCCTTAAGGACTGAAGACAAATAGTGAATTTTTTTTCCTTTTCATTTCTTGCCTTCTGGTTTTCCTGGTTTGCAAGAGTATGAATGCACCTAATCTTATCTGTTAGTTCTAGATCCCCAAGATATACTATTCAGAGGGATACCATGCCTTCTAGTGGTCTGAACTCTATTTCCTGTAGTATTCCAAAGAGTGGGAAGAGAGAAGCAGTAACAAACATCCTTATGTGGAAGGGCACCTGTGTGTAGCAACCCAGCATGTAGGTGAAATTTGCCTGACTGTATGGGACTCAGTCCTGCAAAACCAAGATCAAAGTGATGCTTACAATGAGACATTAAGGATTCTTTATTCCAATGTGTTTGCGAGGGAAATATGTTTAATTACACATTCATATACATTCAGCGTGGTTCACATTGGCAAATGCAGCTCTTCATCATACTTTTCTTTCCTTAATCCTGTACCCCATAAGCTACCTTCCATGATAGGACAAAAAAAAAGGTCGTATGGGGCACTATGTTCCCAAAGCCTGATACTGCCCTTTATAACTGAATCAGTTTTATATATTCATGACATCAATAAATCTCCAGAGATCTATCTCACTGCCCAGAGGGCAGGTGTGCGTGTCTGCTCAGCCTAGCCCTAGAAGCAAGTACTGCCACCACAGATCCTAGAGAAGGTAGAACAAACTGGATGGAATTATAGCCTTAAAGTAAGGGAACCTCTTGAAATTCAGAAGCTGCAGGGAGACCAAGGCAGATACAGATGTTTTAACCATTTTTTTTTTAATGTTTATGACTTGGAAAATTTTCTATCATGTGATTATAAAAGTGAACCCCTAGTTTCTTGGTTCAGCCCTTCAATTATGAAGACCATGGTTCTCAAAAGGATGGTTCCAGACTACTAGAATCAGCAGCAGCATCTGGGTACTTATTAGAAATTAAATTCTCAGGCTCCACCCTGGGCCTAATGAGTCAGAAACTCCAGGGGTAGAGCCCAGCAACTCCTGTGAAGAAACCCCGCAGTGAATCTGATGCACGCTGAACTTGGAGATTTGACTGTTTTAAAGGGAAAGCTAAGTATCAGAGTGCCTACTTTCAGGGGCTTTAGGACCAAAAATAAGAAGGTCCTAGGTTATAATCCAGATGTTACTATTAGTTTCAACATCACTTTTATCATACTTCTTTATGTTTCGGTTTTCCTTATGTTTAATTTAACAAAGGAAACAATATGTGCACTTCCAGGTGGAAGTTAGAGGAGTGTTTGCAGCTTTCCTAGTTGAATGCAACCTTCAGAGAAAAATGTCACCTCTGAAATTTCTACTTGGCAATCTGCACGGAGGAAAGTGGTTGGAGGTCTCTTCCAGATTGCTCTTCTGGCGGACTATTTGTGTCTATTCTTACCTTTTCCCAATTGTGTAATAGAATGGGAAAAGTAAAAAAAAAAAAAAAATTTTTTTTTAATTAATTTGTATTTCCATAACAAAATGTTCTCCCAGGAACATCCCTCTCCTTTATTTGAGTTGCAAAGAGCACTACTGGTCTGAGAACCTGGTCAGAACCTTCTTCCCCAAGGCAGCTAACAACTTAAGTGTTCCAGGATTCCTTCTCTGTGCTCTGCTGGGCACCTAAATCCTTGGACTTAAGCTTTCCCCACATCAGGTCGTGGATACAGAACTACTCAGCCAAGGCAATAGAATAAAATCCGTAAAAAAAAAAAAAAAAAAAAAAAAAAGTCTGAAAAGAGCTTCATATATTTCAAAGTTCACAGACTCATGGGGCCATGGGGGAGATAAGGTTGTTTGGAACTGGTTTTGTTTCAAGTTTGTTGATTTTTTTCCCTGTGAAAGAGCTTGAGGATTGAGCACAAAGAAGCCTATTAGGACAGGTCTCCTGTGCCCTGGCACTCAGCACTTGGAGGAAGGACTAAAGCCGAAGGAAGGCAAATAATTGCACTAAAATCACTCCCTTAGTACCCCAGAAAGCCTGCCATGGGTCCTCTGGCCAACTCTGAGGGGGTCACCCTGCTTCCCTGCCATTTTTCTGAGAAGGAAGAAAGTAAGGAACAGGCTCGTGTTGCAGCCAATCTCTGGACTACTGCTGTGCAGTGGGCCACCACTTCCTAATGTTCTTTTGTTTTAAAAAAAATCTTTTTTTTTTTTTTAAATGAATTCTCTAGCTTCCTTCCCCCCCACCCCCACCCCATCCTGTTTGGGTCAGCACTCTGTGATGGAGTTTGTGTTTCTCAAGTGCATGGTGTTCCTCAGGTGGAGGGTGGGCAGGAATTTTCACAACAGTTTTTTGTTTTTGTTTTGTTTTTAATTTATTGGGCACAAAACCTCAAACCAGGATGTGTGTGTTTATGTATGTATGTGTGTGTGTGTGTGTGTGTGTGTGTGTGTGTTTGATTGATCTGTTGTTGTTGTTTTTTTTCCTCTCTCATTTGACCCTTGCCTCTTCCAACCTACTCCCTTTTATAGCTAATGTAGAAAAAGCAAAATTGAATCTGGAAAGGAAATGGTTGTATATAGTTGCGGTAACAATCATGAAGAGAGCTGGGCTGTCCCCTCAGTAATTCATTTTAAATAACAAATTGGTCAAAAATTAAATTCATGCCTGGGCCAGCTGAAGAGGCCTTCCTCCCTCACCATGGTGGTCCCCCTCATCTGGGCCCTCTGTCCTCAGGCATGTCTCTTCTCAGCAAGATTCATCTGTTCAATRCCATTTGCGTTTCAATAAAGTTATCTCCTGTATTGTCCACTGGTTCTCCAGCTCCCTCTCTGCCTGATTTCTGTCTCCATTTATTTTATGACCCATTACTTGATCTGGAAAGTAAGTCTGGTTGTGGTCATTTGCCAAACCCAGAGGCAAACCCACCTGCCTGGAAATGCCCAAACCCCAAATCCTAAATGGAATCTCTTTTGACTCCTTTGGTTGAGGTGGGGATGTCTCTGAGTCCTCCATCCATTGCCACAAAGTTTGAAAACATACCACCTGCTGGACATCCCTGAATTGTTTTTTTTTTTTTTGGGGGGGGGSGGGTAAAAGTGAATTAACCTTTAAGTAACTGTTCTAAAAATGAAATTCAGTTTCTCCTCCTGGCCACTAGAAGAAGGAAAATAAGTCTTAACTATTCTCTATTGTGGAATTCAGGTCCAAGAAGCAATCTTCTCCCTATGAAAGTATTGTGGTAACACAGACCACCTCTGCCCTCCTAATATGGGAGGTGATAAATGAATACTACTCAAAATAAATCAAGAAAGCATTCTAAAGCATTCTTCTGGAAGAATCCTCAGATGAGGTGACTTCGTCTTCATCAGTTGTTAATAGTTTAGCATCCACAGTCTTGGAACTGTCTTAAGAATTACTAGTTTTGGGGCTGGGGGTGTGGCTCAGCGGAAGAKTGCTCACCTAGCATGTACAAGACCATGGGTTCAATCCTTAGCACCACATAAAAATAAATGAAATAAAGGTATTGTGTCCAACTACAACTAAAAAATAAAATATTAAAAACAAAAATTACTAGTGTCCTTTGCCACTTGGAAATGAGAGTAAACATTCCTGGAAACCACCTTATGAACAGCTTACAAAGAAATACCTGTTCCTTTTTGCTCCAATAACATACAATTGCAATTGCATCCCTTTAGCCACTACATACTTGCCAGGCTCCCAGGTTTATTTTTTGTTGTTTTTTGTTTGTTTGTTTGGTTAGTTTGGTTTTCATGGTTTTGGCTTTTTGTTTTTTTGGTACTGGGGATTGAACTCAGGGGCACCCAACCACTGAGCCACATCCCAGTCCTATTTTGTATTTTGTTTTGAGACATGGTCTCACTGAGTTGCTTAGTGCCCGGCTTTTGCTGAGGCTGGCTTTGAACTCCTGGTCATCCTGGCTCAGCCTCCCCAGAGGAAGCACAGGGGTTACATTTCCCGGGTTACCTCACCGGCCAGGCTCCTGTATTTTCTTTTTCTATTCTTTATTTTTTAAATATCTTTTCTAGTTGTAGATGGACACAATATCTTTATTTATTTTTATGTGGTGCTGAGGATGGAACCCAGTGCCTCACACATGCAAGGCAGGCACTCTACCACTGAGCTGCAGCCCCAGCCCAGGCTCCTGTATTTTCAACTCCTCTCTCTAATTTCCTCCATCTACATTGTTGAGTAGTATATATCCTGAGCCATTTCGTATATTAAATAACTTCTGTTCCCACTTCTTGAGATGTCCAGCCATAATTTCACTTGAGGGAGGTGGCATATATTCTCAGCTATCAAATTCTCACATAAAGTGTCAATCTGGAGAAAATACCCTTTTACATGTTGGTACTCTCCCCTTCCATCACCTTCCCGTTTTGAGGTTGGGTTCATCTAGGCTGGAAGGTAACCCTACCCACGCTCAGGCCCACGCCCATTGCCTACTTCCCTTCAGTTTCTCCCAGCGCCCTATCTGTGGTTCCTAAGGCTAATCAATGAAGAAATTAAATTTAGCCAATTTTTTTTTCCGTCTGTGGTGGGGTGGGTGGAGGAGAAAGAAGTTGATTTAAAATGGGTGGTCTTTCTGACTCAGTCTCCTCTCTTTAAARCCCTCAAAAGAATCCTTTTCCTTTTTCAT